GTATCAAACGATCCCGGTGAAAAAAGGATGAAGGGCGCTGAGACCCCATGCCCCTGGGGGTGTGATTCACAAGCTCACCAGCAGGGGTCAGCCGTGCTCAGAGTTCTTGTGCAAATAGAGTGCTGGAGTTCCTAAAACATAAAAAACCTAAACGGAAAAGAAGCAAAGCCAAGCACGTCTCCAAGCAAGGCGTATGTGAGTGATAAAGGAGACCGAGCCACTGCCTGCCTTTGCGGCTGTGCAGCTGAGTAAACGCTCTCTTTGGATCGTCTGATCCTTTCTTGCGCCTCTCAGCCTCACTGATCAACCCCAGTGGACCAGAGGCCGCGGGGCTCTTTCCTAAAACCGGGGTGTTCTCAGTCTACACACCGCTCATCCCTCTGTGGGCTGGCCAGGCGACCAGAAATGCTTGGAGGGTCTTCGACAGGAGAACCAGGAAAAAAGTATTAAAGCGAGAGGAAACTAGAGGGACTAGGAGCAGAGGAGGCAGGAGGGGGCCCTCCAGGCCTCCTGCTCCCCCCACCCCCCCGCCCCGCTGCGGTCCGGCCCCCTCTCCCCTCTTCGTCCCCCATTCCCCGCCCACAGCAGCCGTGAGCCCTGCCCTTGGGTGAACGCAGGAGGGGAAGTGGCCTCACATGGCCTTCGGGTGGGGGCGGGAAAGGAGAAGACGTCACTTAAGTCATTCCTCCAGTTTCACAACACCCCAGAGCAGCAGCCTGAGGCCTCTGAGTCCCCTTCCAAGCTCCCTGGAATATTCACATGGTTCACTGTGTAAGGAGCTTGAAGAAGGAAACGCATTTCCCTGTCGAAGCCCCTGTGGGGTTCCTCTCCAGGTAGATGTCCCCCCATCTTGCTTTCAAGCATTTTCTCCTCCTGACATTTACACATGAACTTTCTTGCTCTTTCTTTTGCCATTTGGCCATCAGGCTCATTTCTTTGCAGATCCTGAGGGGCTCTGGGATTCGCCCTCAGGAAACCTGAAGACAGGGACTGACGGCCCAGGTCAGGAAAGGGGCCCATCCGTCAGCCCTCCGCCACAGCCTCAGTGCAGCAGAGCCGGGTCCAGGTGGATCTGGGGAGACCCTGGTGGATCCCGGGAGATCCAGGAGGATCCAGGTGGATCTGGGGAGACCCTGGTGGATCCCAGGAGATCCAGGAGGATCCAGGTGGATCTGGGGAGATCCAGGGCTGGGAAAAACCTCAGAGCTGCCCCTAAGCCCCACACAGAGCCTGTCACAGCCCAGGGTCCTCAGATGCCCACAGGACACACTTTCCAAGAAATGATTTCTCTTATCATAAATCATTCTCAACAATATCTGTTAATTAAAACAAACACAGGTATTTGTTAAGGAGAAAGCAAATTTTAAACAACTTTTTACCATAAAACCAAAGCCCTCAGGGCCCTGGGGTGGCCAATCCCACCCACGTTCTGGCACCCAGGATGGGCACATCCCTCTACGCTGGCAGGACCACCGGCTGGGAGCCTTTGATGGCTCAGAGCTGGTCCCAGTCTTCACCTCACACAAGAGGAAAACCAGGGCCTGGATTGCAGTCACATGGTCACTGAGCTGATTACTGCCCATGGTCACTTACATGCCAAAGAGGGGGTGAATATAGCCCCACAACCTTCAGGCCCTGGGGAGACCAGTGGGGAAGCCACTGGAAAGGGCCCAAAGGGCACTGGTGCAGTCAGTGTTGACATCAGTCATGCCGTTTTATCGGGTTGTAACTGACACAGCTCGGGGTTAGGATAATGTGTGCAGCACCGCGATCTGACTCACACATCCTGAAATGATGATCACAATGGCTTGGTGAGCCTCCATCACTTCATACAGATACAGCATTGAAGAAATGTAAAGAACATTTTCCTTGTGATGAGAACTCTTAGGGTTTACCTTAAAAACTTTCATATGTACCATGCAGCAGTGTTAATTACCATGCTGCACATTTCATCCCTACCACCTATTATCTTTGAAGCAGTCTTTTGGGCCTAGAAAAGAAAACAACAGTCTCAAAGGCCCTTGCCGAATCGTCTAACTTCGGAGAAAACAAAATAACTTTAGTTCCGCCCTGATGCTCCAGGCTGGTTGCATCTATCTGGGACTTATCACCTCCTGTCCAGAAACCTTCCACCCCCTACACCTGCCCATAAGACTTATCATCCCCTACCAGACTACAAATGCCATCTCAATTAAAGAATACCCAAAATATCCCGCCTGATTAACGTTTCCCTTATCACTTCCACAAACCTCCCTATAAATATGGAGCCTCCCCGATCCCTCCCAGCGCTCAGCCTGGTCGTTAGGCCGACTGTCACCCCTCCTTGCCTGAGTAAAGGTAACCTACCTTGAGGTCCTCTTTCCTTTTCTGCCTCGGCCCGAACTATACCTTACAATCTTATCACTGGAAGTTTATACCTTCTGATTGCCTTTATCCAATTCTCCCTGCCTCTTGTAAGCATGAATCTGATCTCAGTTTTTTATTTAACATTCATTTATTTATTTAGGCTGTTTCAGGTCTTCATTTGGGGCAAACGAGATCTTTGGTTGCAACCTGTGGCATGTGGGGTCTAGTTCTCCAACCAGGGACTGAAACTGGGACCTCAGTAGTAAGGGCTAGGAGTCCTAACCACTGGACCACCAGGGAAGTCCCACTGTCATTATTTTACATCCTTGATGATGGAGCTGAGACTCACAATACGGGTTCGCCCCTGGCTCCTTCGGAGCGTCAGAGCGTCTGTGGGCCTTGCTGTCTCAGGGCCCGCTTGGCTGTGCAGTGGCTGTGCCTGGCCTGGGCGTGTGGTCATCACGTTCGTCTGCCTCTGTCCTCCTCGCCCCCTCGCCCCACATGTGCCTGTGCAGCTCCCGGCAGACGCTCAGCCCTGCAAGGATTCACTTTCTCACTGACCCTGTGGTCTCCCCCCAGAGAAGGGTTACCTGCGCTGGGTCACTGCGTGGCCTGGGGCTGTCCTGCTGCCTCAGCTCCCTGTGAAGCAGCACCATCTCCCCGCTATCAGCAGCTATCCCGGGGGCAGGACTCGGCACACAGCCCCCCATTTACGAGGTTCTCTAAGAGCCTGCAGGAGAATCCAGGTGTGCTGGCCTTTCCCCAGACCTGCCCTAAGGCCGCTTCCCAGCACAGGTTAACTGTCCTCACTGGGGAAGTCTTCCAGCAGCTTCCCCACCCAGGCAGGACAAACCCAGACCAAAGAAGGAAAGGCCCTTCTGTACAACCCTAGGCAAGACTTCAAAGCTGCGCTCCATGGGATGGGGCAGCCGAAGGGAGGCAGGATGATCCCGGGAGACGGGCGCGTCTGGGCAGTGGTCCCACGGGCTCTGATGCTGCTGCTTTGCAGGGCAACATGCCTGTTGCGTTGCGTGCTCGGTGTGGGGTGACCAGCAGTCCCCCTGGGTTTTCCTCCTACATCGAGGTTGGGTCAGATGAGAAGGGCCTGATCTGCAAGAAATCCTGGTGGGGTCGGTGCTCCCAATCTTGGGAGGGCCCTGTTTGTACGGAGGGCCTGGCCCAGGGAAAGATGTTCTTAGGGTAGAAAGTAAGAAAAACTTAGACAAATCTTTCATTTTCTGAACTGTAAGATTCCTGACTTTATTCCTGGAAGAGTTGATTCAGCTGCCTGGAGCTTTAAAGGATGGCTGTGAGTGTTGAGGCTCTGACCCTGGTCCAGCAGCATCTGCATCCCCACGTGACCTCGGGGAGGGGCCTGCCCCCAGTGCACTGCCCTGAGCAGAGGGGGTGTCCTTCTCCCAGAGACGCTGCAGGAAGAGGGCAGCAGGGAGGGGCACACGGCGCCCATCCCGTGGACACAGTGCAGTGGGCGCCCGAGTTTGCCACGTGCCTGCTCAGGCTGCAGTCAGCGCCAACCGTGCCAGCCAGCCTGGGGGATCAGAGGGCGTTCCCTTTTGACTTAGAAACGTGGTGAACGAGCTACAAAAACTACAAACAAAAAGAAAGTGCTTTGTCTTTGGAGGTGCCCCAGGTCCTGGGCACACTAGTGTCTTAGATTTCCATGACCCTCTGAGTCCAGATCCACAAGCCTAAAGGGCAGTGAGCCTTGGGACCCAGAGGCTGGCAGGATCGTCGGGGAAGGGATGGCACCTTCCTTGAAAGCCTCGTCCCCTCTGCTCCCCATCAAGATCCTCCCTGCCAGGGGCCTGGGTACTCCTTGCTCCTCCCCCGTCCAGGCCACTGGGTTTCTGGGCTGTTCCTGCGCCCAGGGAAGAGCTGGGCGCCTCTGTGCCCTCTGAGATGCCCGCAGCGGGCACCCTGGGTGGCCCATCACCCGCAGCTACTCCAAGGCAGCTTTCCGAGGCCTGGAGAAAAGCCCAGCGTCACACCCACTTCTCAGAGCTGCTGTTTGGGGGGCGGAGGGGGCTCCTCGACTGGGGAAGGCCGAGGGGACAGAGCTGTTGGAGGCGGGGTGACCGTCATAGAAGGGCACTAGTGAAGGCGTGCTAAGCCTAAGGATCTCCCCTGCCCGTCATAAGCCCACTTCCCGGTGGATTATACTCCCTTCGCAGACAGGGACCAAGGCCTAGGAGCGGACTGTCCAAGCCTGGGGACCAGCGGGTATGCGGAAAGGGCGGGATCAAACCTCCGGGTAGGGGGGTTGCCCTAACCGGGGCGCGGCGCCCTCTCCCCGTGTCCCTGACATCCTGCCACCAGGACACCAAACACGACGACCCCCCTTCTCCTCTGGCACACGTTTATCTGGGCTCTTGGCTCGTGGATCACGGATCACGTGTGTCTCCACCCTCGTCCAGCGGCCGGGACCGCTGAGAAGTTCCGGGCACAGTGAGCTGCTGCTTCCTCTGCGGCGGGGCGCACAGGGGATCCCCGGAGCGCAGCCAGCGCGGCCCGGCCCTGGGGGCGGCCCTGCGCCGTGACATCAGCCCGGGGCGGTGACTTCGGCGCCGGCCTAGTGCGGTGTGCAAAGCCTGTGGGTTGGCGCGGCCCGGACACGCCCTCCCCGAGCGGAACAAAACTGCGCGCGGGCCGGCGCGCCCAGCCTCGTTTCCAGAGTCCGCCCTCTCGCCTGCCCGCCGCCTGACGCGCTCGGCCGCTGCCAGGTGAGTGCGCTCCGGACCCGGACGCCCGGCCCACGCGCCGCCGAGCACCCAGGCCCCCACCCGCCGGAACGCCGAGCGCCCAGGTCCCCCTTCCGCCGGAGCGCCTGCCCGCGAGCGCAGAGCGCCCCTGGCCTTCCAGCCCCGCCGCCGCCTCCAGGGATGCTACAGGGAGGGTCTCAAGAAAAAGGGGCGCTGCGTGGGCGTGGGCGGAGGAGAGGGGTGAAGTGGCCGCGGCTCTTCAGTTAGCGCGGGGCCCCTTCCTGCCCCGGGCGCCGGGACGCAAAGGGCCCGCACGTGCCTCTGCCCCGGGACGGCTCGGCTCCCTCCCCCGGCGGGTCCCGCGGCGGGACAATGGGCTATTCTGCGCCCACTGACGGTCCTTGTGCGGCGGGGAATGAGGGCATCCGTGCCACCCGCTCCTGCCCGGGGGGAACGTCCGGCGGGCGGGTGGGGGGCCCGTCTGGCACAGCTGTGCCCGGAGAGCGGGTGCGAGTTTCCCCTTTTGCGAGGGGCTAGATGGAGGTCGCCCCGTCCCCTTTACCCCTGACTCTCCGGGACTTGACGCGGCGCAGGGACCACCACCCAAGCCTGGAGGAAGCCACGGTGTTTGCGGCCTCAGTCCCGAAGGCCGGGGGCAGGAAGGGGAGCTGTGAGCACACTTGAAGCAAGTTGCAACCCGTTACCCAACAAACAGCGTGCAGGCAGGCGCGTCCTCCACGCTCACAGCTTTGCAGTATGCTGCAAACGCTCGTCTGGTCAAGCGGTTTGTTATCTGATGGAGACCCAGGGCTAGACGGGAGCGGGGGTGGGCTCCGCCCCTCCCCGGAGGCCTGGGGCCCGCCCCTGCTCCTGGGCGTGGACGGGTGTGCAGCCCCTCCCAGCTTGGGGGACTTGGCCTGGGGGTCCTGTCGCAGTAGCTCCTGGAGGCCCGCGGGGCTCTGGTGGAAGCGGGGCCTCGACTTGGAGAGGTGACTGACCCGGATACTCTGCCGGCCTGGATCCGGGGCTCTGCTTCTCTGGCCGCGGTCCTGGGAGGGCGGGGCCGGTTTTCTTCTCTCCCAGCCTTCCTGCCTCCCAGAAGCTGCCGCCCCCTGTCTTCTCAGAGAGCAACTGGGATCCGGGCACTCCCTGGGGGTCGTGTCCCCTGCCGCCACTCACTGTCAGCCCCTGAGGGTCAAGGTGGGCTCCGGCTGGGGGCCCCAGCCACCTCTTTCCAGAGAGATTGTCCTTGTGGCTGGATCCAAGCCTGCACTGCCCGCCATCTCCCAGGGAAGGACCCAGTCCTGCAGGGAGGAAATCTGGCGCGGAGGAGGCGGACGAGGAAGGAGGTTTACTCCGGAGAGGGTGTGCTTGGAGGGGGAGGGGCAGCGCTCGCCCTTTAAAGGGTTTGGGGGCCACTGGGGAGAAAGGGAAGAGCAGACCCACGCTGTGGGCACAGGTCTGCAGGGCCACGCCCCTGCCCCTGGGCCGCCCAGCGCCTGCCTTCCTGGCCCAGGTGTCCCTTCTCGCACAGCAGGCCTCTGCCTTGTGGTCCTGGCAGGACCTCCCTGGCCAGGAGCATAGTGTTGGCACCTGGTTAGCGGGCAGTGAACATCTGGTGAGTGAACGGGTGGACGTGGGCTCGTAGCCGAGCTGCCCTGCTGGGCACGTGTGACCCTTGCAAACCCATGCTGGCCCGGTGGCGCCAAGGCCCAGGTCAGGTTTCCATTAACCATGGGCCTCCTGGTGGAAGGCAGACTGGGGAGGCTTCTTTGAGAGGCTGCTGGAGCTGAAGTTTCTGTAAGCCGGCTTCTTGTGAGGTTGGCTTGGAGAGGACACGGGAGTCATGCATTGGATATATTGAGGCACTGAGGAGAATAAAAGTCGCCACTTGCCACACTCGGGTGTGTCGGCAAATAAGGAAAGAGTCACGACTCTTGGCAGGAGAGCTGGCCTTTCCCGAGAGAATAGCTGGCTGATGTGCTTGCCCGGCCCTGGGACTGGCCTGTGTCCTTCGCCGTCTCATCTGGGGCAGCATGTGAGGTGGGGCGGAAGCTGGGGCTCAGAGGTGACCAGTGACTTGCTCTGGGTTGCGGCTGCCATTGAGACCCAGGCAGACACCTTTCAGGCCCATGCCCGGCCTCCCTGTAACTCTGCCTTTCCTGTCTCTGATCAGCTCTCCAGGGACAAACCCGCCACTCCCAAGACAGACGTGCTTTACAAAGAGCTTTATAGCAGCTTCCACACTGCTTAGGGAGGATGCGGCTCTGCTAGTGTGAGTGTGGAAGAAGTCGGGTTAGAACTTGCCATCACTGGGTCCTCTACAGGGTGGGGAGAGGGGAGGGCCCCCCGGAAGTTGGGGCCTGTGTCCTGGGGATGCGCTCTCACCAAGTCTGGTGTGTGTTTGGATTTCGGTGTCAGGTTGGCAGGGAAGAGAGGCAGCCTGGAAAAGAGCCTTACTGAGGAGAAGCCAGGCGCAGAGCTGGGGTGGGGCGGGGAGGGGTGGGCGCCTGCAGACCCAGTGGTCAGGGATTTCTGCGGTGACGCTGGGCTTGCACTACGCAGCTCCCCAGGAATTCATCTGACGTCATTGCCGAGTGATTCCATGTATGGTAAAGAGTGTAAATACGGAGGCAGTTAGCTTTTCCACAGCTTCCTTGGGTGGGAGGCAGCGTCTGACTCCTACTAGAGGCGAGCAGACCCCCATCTGCGGTGCCGCCTTTCTGCAGGGCTCGAGGGGGCTGTCTGACGTGTCAGCTGCAAGCAGCCTGTTTTACACGGGCTAAGGAATCATGTGCTTTGTTTTTGCTTTTAAAAATTTAATCCAGGAAAATAATCCAGACCTTTTCAGCGTGGGTAACCAATTGTTACTAAATTGACATCATCCCAGATGAAAGCAAATGAACTTTATCTGTTGGTTAATCTGTGGGATCTTGTTACAATATCGGGCTTCCTGTGACAGTTTGGAAATGCTTAAATCCTAGCCCGCTGTTTCTACTTTTGTTGACCTTCAGATTCTGAACCCTGCGGGGAGTGTCCTGCTGGTAAAGGCAAGAGGGGTGCAGTCACTGCCCCACGAGGGCCTCAGGACCTGGACTTGAAGAGAACTCAGAGCGGGGAGAGAGGGAGCAGGGTGACACGGGGTTGGAGCACCATGGGGTCCGCATAGGGGTGCTGGCGGGCCGAGTCGCTTGCAGAGTTCCAGGAACCGCGTGACGCTGAGGCCGGGCCTGCACCCCATGTCGGTCCTTGCGCCCCCACAGTGACTGACCGCTCCTTTTAGGGCAGGACCGTTTCCCGGACTGTTTCTCTGGGCACCCCTCCTTCTTTGGCTGCCCTCCGGTGGGGGGCTGGGGAAGCCTTGAGCAGCAGGTTGGAAAGGATGACAGCTCCCCTGTGCACCTGGCCAGGCCCCGCCCAGCCCCGCCAGGCCCCGCCCAGCCCCGCAAGCCCAAGTGGAAAAACACCTGACAGTTTTCGGCCAAACCAAGTTAGGGGGGACCTGCGCTCTGTGCCCAGGAGTTGCCCTCTGTCCCTGGGGAGCAGAAGGCTTTGGAACAAAGAAGTTTGGGGCTTTCCACTGGGGACAAAGACGCGGTGGGGAATGCCGTCAGGTCACTGATCTGAGGAAGGGAGACCTTCCTGCAGACGCCGGTGGCCAGTGGTTAAGGGCTGACATCAGCGAGGCGGTTTCTTAGACATGAACCGTGAGCGCCCTGGGCGTCACCTCAGCCTGACATTCGCATGCCGCTGGCGGAACATGAGCGTCTCTGTCCTCCGCAGCCCCGGAGCCCGGCCGGGTCTCTGCTCCCAGGACAGAGGAGCCGCAGGCCGATCTTCATGCTGCAGCTGGACATGGCTGGGACCAGCGGCCGACCCGGGCGCTGGTCGGAAGAATCCAGTCCCGGACTTCTAGCTTATGGCGGCCCTGAAGGCCCTGACATTTCAGGGGAATAGCTGCCCGGGTGTCTCCAGCCATCCTGCAGGAGATGAAGCCCAGTGCTTAGTGGAGATGGTAGACGCGGTGAAGTGGACAAACCAAAACACCCGGGGCTCAGGGCTGGTGTGATCACAGGGGCGGCACCTGGAGCAGACATGGCCTGGGGCAAGGACAGCGCACATCCGGCCCTGGGGGGCCCTCAGGAGCGGGACCCCCGCACCAGGCCCTGGGCCGGTGCTGTTATTTCCCCCTGACCCTCAGAACGAGACTCTGAGTCAGCAGATGGTCTGACCTAGGGATGAGCACAAAGAAGCGCAGAGGAAGGGAGCCTGACCCTTCAGCTGGGAAGAAATGGGTCCAGATCCCCTTTCCCGACCTCTGAACTGCCTGACCCCTGATCCCTGACCCCCGTCTCCTGTGGGGCCTCTGCCCCCAGACCTGAGGAGGCAGCTGAGAGGGAGCCAGTCGTCCCTATTGAACTCCAGATGGTCTGGGAAGTAGGTTTCCTTTTAAGGCAATCGGGCTCCATCAGCTGGACTCGGGCTGGGGGGAGGGAGTGGGTAGAGCAGGAACCTCCCTCGTGGGAGGAGGTGGCTGGGCCCCCAGCTGAGCCCCCCAACCCATAGATTCCTCAGGGGTCCTCATGAGGGTAGGGGGGAGCCCATGGCCGGGGTCAGTGCTCTTCGCCCCAGGGTGCTGAGCCCTGTCTGTCCCCTGGATTCCTAAAGGGGGCCCCCCATGGTTTTGGGGGCCCTGGCTGGGAGGTGGCCTGGGCAGAGTTTCCCACCTCAGGTTCCCGGGCCCTGCTGGACACGGGCCCTGACGCGGGGCCAGGGAGAACAAGGGCAGCCTGTGGACGGCGGGTTTCCCGAGGGAGGAGGGCTTTTGTGTCAGGAACAAACCACTGCTGGGAATGGCTCCCCACCGCGCGGTCGGGGAACCTCCCCCCTCAGGGGTGTCCCAGGGCTGGAGGATGAAACCTGTGGGCTCAGGGGTGGGACAAGGTGAGGCAGGAGCCCTTGGGTCCCCATGTCCCCAAGCCCCGTCTGCTGAGCACAGAGGGCCCGCATGGGGCTGGATGGCCAGCCTCACCGCAGCTCCGACTGCAGGCCTCCCCTGCCCCAGTCCTCATCCGTGCCCTGGGCAGGTCCCCGCCTCTGGGTGGCCAGGGAGGGTGGATGGCGCTTGCAGACCACCTGGCACACGGTGGGTCTGCAGGCTCGGGGCAGGCTGTCTGCCGAATGCTGAGAGCTGGGGTTCGAGGGTCACGTCCTGGCACCCGTCAAGAGGCAGGAGTGAACCCGCGTCTTTATAGGAACTGGCTCGTCCCCCAGGACTCCCCGCCCTGCTCACGCCGTCCCTGCACCACCCCTCAGGGGACTGGAGTCACTGGGTGACTTTCAGGTCCAGGCTCTGCCCTGAGCACCTCCTGGGGGTTACTCAAGGGAGTGCGGGCTGCCTGATTTGAACGGGGTTCTGCAACAAAGAAGGGTCGGGAGGCTGTTGGAGGTTAGGCCAACTGTAATGACCACACTACACCCACCTGACTGTCCGTCACGGAGATGGTTTTGCAGCCCTGCCACAGGGGGCCGGAGGAACAGGGGGGCCTCAGGGACCAGGCCTGGGCGTATGGGAGCTGAGCCCTGAGCCAGGAACCTTGGCAGTCAGCTTAGGTCCAGTGCCCTGGATGAAAATCGGGCTGGTTCCCAAGGAGGAGGGGGCTGTTGAGGGCCAGTGAACCTCAGTGGTGAGAAGAGGCCTGGAGAGGCGAGGGAGGTCAGGGCTTGGGGTGAGTGGGTGGAGTTGGGTACAGAGCTCCTCCCCATTCTGGGGTTTAGGATGAGATTCCTTAGTGATCAGAGAAGATTATGGTTCCAGCAACAAAATGGACAGTCAGGAAGAAGAGCATGTTGGAGAGAAAAGGTGATGAGAGAAAAGGTGGCTAGTGTTGAAATCGAGGTGCTCCCCTGAAACTGGGTGTGTGAGCCTGGGTTCAGGGCAGAGGTCAAGGTCAGTGATCAGTGGAAGTCCTCGGTGGGGTGACCACAAGAGCAGTGGGACCAGAGGAACCCCAACCCTTGGGACCGGGAGACAGAGCAGAGGCCGTGAAGAGTGAGCGTCCCAGCTCTCTGCGCCCCTCACCCACAGGAGGGGTGCTCTTGGCCCGCACACCCTACTGAGGATTTTGCCGGCCTTGGGCTGCAGCCCTGAGCATTAGGGGGGCTGACATCTCAGACACCTGTGTGAACACCTGTGTGCTAGACACGCGCAGACTTGGGGATGTGGTAGTGAACCTGGACTGGACCTCCTCCTCGAGCTGACACCTGTGTCCGCTCTTGCGGAAGAAATTTCCCTCCATCTGTCTAGCTCCTTCTGACTTGAAAAGAATTACTTTGAACTGAGACAGAGAACAGGAGAAAATCAAAGCTTAATAACTTGTCTACATGGGAGAGACCCCAAAAAACTGAGTAACTCCAGAAGTGGCCCAAACCCTCACATTAAATACCATGCTCAGCTAAAGACAAAAGAGGAAGTTGGGGCAGTGGTTTGAGACTTCAGAGGTGAGAAAGCCAGTTGACATGGAGAAGGAAAAGTAAATGTTTGGAAACCAGTGTTTGCTGGGCTGGGCAGGGATAACGGGACTGGTCTCCTAGGTCTGTCTGCCTGGTTTCCCCACCATACCCAGCCCGCATTCTTCACAGAGATCTCTGGAAACTGTGGTATTTGGGGAACTGGCCCTCTATTGAAATTCTTTTAGGCATTTGAGGGAAGGTTGATGGTTCTTCCTGAATCTCTTGGGCCTTGATTGTTATCAGCTCAAAATAATCCACACGGCAAAGAGACAATTTGGGGGCAAGCTTCCTCCCTGCACTACATCAGATGGGAAGCCCCCGGTGGTAGGGACCATGCCCCCTGCCCCTGCCCAGACTCCAGCTGCCGGCACCGCCCTGGGTGCCCATCCCCGAGTTCCCAAGGAGGGTACTCCTCCGCAGCCCTCCCACCGTCTCCCAGCACCCCAGTCCTCCCACGGAGTCCCTCCCCCATGCACTTCTGTCCACAGAGCTGGAAGGGCCGCTGCCCCTGATCCTGAGCTCTGGTCCTGCAGCCCTGGGCCCCTGAACTCACCCTGTGTCAGGCACTGGGCTGTGCCTTCCTGATTCCCCAGAAGTAACCTGCAATGCACCTTCTGCTTCTGTCCCCATTGCACAGACGCAGAAGCGAAGGTTTACAAAGGCTAGCTCCCTTGCCCAAGGAACACACAACAGTGAGTGGCAGGGTCAGGAAAGGACTAAGCCTGCCTGCCTCAGGACCCCAGCTCAAAACCAACCTCGAGCTTCTCAACTTGTCCCAGACTACTGCCTTCAGAGTCAGCTGGGTGCTTGTTAAATATTCCTGTTCTTGTGCCCCATCCTCAGGTCATGATTCATCGGGTTGGGGGTGGCGCTGGAAAATCGGATTTGGCAAATGCTCCCCCCTCCCCCCACCCTAATGGACTCTAAAACTTCAGTTGTGCCTTCTGTGTCTGACTCCTGCTTTTTCAAAAAAATTGGGTTTTTTTGGGGGGGGGGTGAAATTTCCGGGGGGTTAAGACTTGACACATTCAATACGAGGGCCTAGGTTCGATCCCTGGTCAGGGAACAAAGATCCTACAAGCCCTGTGATGTGGCTAAAGAAAAAATATTTTGGTGAGCTAAATCTTACATACAAAAGAACATATAAAAACTACATGCGGGGACTTATAGAGCTTATGGAGAAGCTCTATACAGTCAGCCAAAACAATACCAGGAGCTGACTGTGGCTCAGATCATGAACTCCTTATTGCCAAATTCAGACTCAAATGGAAGAAAGTAGGAAAAAACCACTAGACCATTCAGGTATGACCTAAATCAAATCCCTTATGATTATACAATGGAAGTGGCAAATAGATTCAAGGGATTAGATCTGATAGACAGAATGCCTGAAGAGCTATGGACAGAGGTTCAGATCAAGACCATCCCCAAGTAAAAGAAAGGCAAAAAGGCAAAATGGCTGTCTGAGGAGACCTTAGAAATAGCTGAGAAGAGAATCTAAAGGCAAAGAAGAAAAGGAACGATATACGCATTTGAATACAGAGTTCCAAAGAATAGCAAGGAGAGATAAGAAAGCCTTTCTCAGTGATCAATGCAAAGAAATAGAGGAAAACAATAGAATGGGAAAGACTAGAGATCTCTTCAAGAAAATTAGAGATACCAAGGGAACATTTCATGCAAAGATGGGCTCAATAAAGGACAGAAATGGTATGGACCTAACAGAAGCAGAAGATATTAAGAAGAGGTGGCAAGAATACACAGAAGAACTGTACA